ACAGCTTTTAAATTCACCCTGGAAAAATGATCTAAGCAGCATGTACTTGCTATGTCTGGTGGGTTTATTACTTCTTCATCTTATTTTTAACCCCCTATGTTGCAAAGAATGAGATGTCAACTCTCTATGTGGAGAAGATGCTATGACTTGCAGGCAACACTAGAATGTGGTATAAACTCTCTCCCATGACTTCTTTTGCTTAAGATGGTTCTTGGGCCTGGAGCAAGCTTTCTATTTCTTAACAAAGGGGTCGCACTGCAAAAAGTGTATATGAATGGCTGTGTTTGTTCAGCAGTTTTTCTTGGCTACCTATTAGAGCAATAAACCAGGGTCCCTGTAAGCCCAAGATGCAGATTTGGGGGATATACCAATAGCATACTTCTGACATGAGCGGTGCCAGCATGAGAAGCAATCTTGGAAATGTACCAAATTTTAAAGGATTAAAATGTTGAAAAACAGCAGATAGCATTCACCCATCAATCAGCAGTTAGGCAAAATGCAGCTCTCAGCAACAAGAGAGGAGGACTGGGAAGAACTGTTTTATCAGCACAGCTTCTATTAATAGTTTACAGCTTTCCCTCTGCCCCCTTGTATTTTATCAAGGTATCACATGCAAACTTGAAATTTAAGCCACTTGAATGGAAAAAACAAAAACAAAACAAAAGCCCCGTATGAATGGCAGGAAGGCACACAGTATAGCATGTAGTGGTATTCAGTTATGCACAATGGTAAATTAAAAAATAAATGGCATAATTCACATACACTATGTATTTGTTTTTTAAATTTACTTTTTCCACAAAGAGGATTATCTTCAACAAGCTGTAAAGCAACTTCTATATCCATGCTGTCGAGGCTCAATCCCCACTTTGTTACTTTGAGTACAGAAGGTGGGGGCTTGCAAGGATTTTAAAAATTAATACTTGCCACTCCAGGCTTGTATTAAACTCCCACGGTTACAGCTTTTCTCTGACCTTGGCTTGGTAAACGCTGCCACCACCCAAATGCCAAAACCCCCTTGGACCCAGGAAGGAGCACTTGGGAATTCCTCCCTGTGGGGTACCCTCAAGCCCTTTCACCCTCCCCCCCGGGGGAAGAGCTGAGAAAAAAACTAAAGCTACCAGCTAATCAAACAACATGCACAAACCTCATAGGACACCAAATTTTATTAAAAACAAAAAGGAAGAAAATACATCTGGAACTTAGGCTTTTGCTATATTTTAAAAGAGCAATTCCAAAAATTAAGCACCCAAAATAGCTTTCTTGGGGGTTAGCTTAAAGGTGACAAGCAAACGAAGCATCTGGGGTTAGTACAGAAGAGTCCACAAGCCTTAAAAATAAACAGAAATAAACCTAATCGTGTCTTTTTAGACATTCCCTAATTGTACTTGCATATCTGAGGCTTCAGTTAAGTAGGTTCGAGGTATGAATTGATAATCTATAATCATACCTGGCTTAAAGCTGCTTACAGCATTGCTGCTCCATGTCCCTGCAACCCAGAGAGAACAACAAAGGGAAAGTTTCTTTCCCAATTTTAAAAAGTTCTACCTTCCTATTGGCTCTTTTGGTCAGGTTCCCACTTCCTTTTCTTTACCTGGGGGACTTTTAACCCTTTACAGGTAAAGCATGCAGAGAACAGCTACCTGGCTGGCTGGGTCTCCATCAAAGGGAGCTACCCCCGGCCCCCGACACACTTCATTTATCACACATGCAAAAAAGTTTTAAATGATACTTTGATAGGGGAGTCTCTGATATGCAGCAACGAGGAGACTCAGAAGCCCCACACTATTTAATTTACTAAGATTCAGAACAAGGTACTGGATATCCTGGCCTGTGTCCCCAGAGAAAAAGTAGAAAACAATTGAAATGTAAAAAGAAACCAATTAAATAGTAAAGAAAATAGAATGAATCAAGGAATGTTTGAGCATACTGAAAATTAGCAACTTTTGAGGTGATATAAAGGGATCTCTTCTCACAGGTGGTGGGGGAGAGGGAATGGGGTTGTGTCATCTGTCAGCAGTTGCAGAAAGGGAAAATAAGAGTCAGCTTATATCCAAAGCACTTTTGTAGAATAAAAAAACTGTCAAATATTTTTACCTGATGTTTTACAAGTGAAATATATAGTATAAGAGCTGATCATATAACTGGGGCTTTGCTGATAAATCCCTGTAGAAAATAATGTAATGATATGGAGAATTCAGTACCAGGTTTAAATTATGGGCCAAATTGTGGCTGCCCAAGGGAGAAGACAGAGAAAAGGAATCTTCACCATCCCTTGAACTCTCTGCAGGGGCCAGCCATGACCTGATGGGGTATGCTGCTGAGCAGATTATCCACCCAAAAAGGGAGCGAAGAGGGGCACAGCTATACCAGCACAGGGAGAATAATTTCACATTCATTCTTTTTCAGAGGCTTGCAGATTTCCCACTCCGACGTCTGCACTCACTTCCTTTCTCCCCTCTCCCAAAGACTCTTCAGGAATTCTAGCCCAATAAGAATTCATCTAGTGACTCCCCTGATCTGTGCAACTAGGTTTTCCACCAATGGACCTGTACCGCATAATGTGGCCAGTGACTTTAAAACCACAATCTTGTCCTAAATTAAGAATAAAAGACTTTGCCTTATTTTTTAGTGCGTTGGAATTAGTGTGGAGCTAGGTTTAGGCTCAAAATTCAATGTAAACTATTGCTTTATCTTTTTCTTTTCTCAATTTGAAAAACCCACAGACGTATTCTGAAACGTACATATAGAAATAAAGGAATTGCCATACTGGATCATACCCTAGTCCACCTAGTCCAGTACCCTATATCTGACAATAGCAAGTACCGGATACTTCAGAGGAAGATGCAAACAACCTCCTCACTCAGTAGTTAAAGACTGTCTCAAGACCTGAAGTATGAGGTTTAATATCTTTCAAAATTTTTGTTAACATTTTGTGGTTCTTGAGAAGAGAATTGGAGGAGACACAGTTACGTTTGTGTAGGAATCTGAGAAATGGATAGATGATGCTGAAATTGTGACACAGAGGAGGCAAGAGATGACGCGGTAGGTGATAATATTGCACAAGTAGGGTGGCATATTGCTGTGAAGGGCCTTTGAAGTCAAGTGCACAAAGACTTGAAGTGATGCAGTTCAACAGTGGGAGCAACTGGAGAGATTCAGGGAGAGGTGAGGTTGATGTGGTACCTGGTCGGAGCGATGAAGGTGATCTTACCAACTGTGCTTTGTATGGATTTAACATGGAGTGGGAGGTGACCTGGATGTAAGGGAGGTCAGTAATCAAGATGGGAGAGGATGAGGGTTTGGATGAGAGGTTTTGTTGACTGAACTGAAAGAGGACGACGCATGCAGGGATAAGTGGCAAAATTTGGAAACAGCCTGGATGTTCAGGGTAAGAGAGGGATGAGTCAAAGATGACCCTCTAATTTATGGGGCGATGGAATGACAGGGAGGATAGCAGAATTGTCAACAGCAAATGAGAATGAAGGAGTTGGGAGGGAAGAGGAGGAGTTCAGCTTTGGCAATGTTAAATTTAAGCAGACAGTGAGTCATTCCAGAGTAGTCATCAGAGAGCAAGACTGAGTTGTGAGATTAGACAGAAGCAGATAGATCAGGAGTTGAGTAGTATATATGAGAGCCGCCAGCATAAAGATGGAAGCTGAAACCAGGAGAGGAGCAGATTACACAGAGAAGGAGCTCACCCAAAGAAACAAGTATGGGGCAGTCTCAGAAGCAGCAGGCACAAAGTCAAAAGCTTCAAGGGGTCAGATTTCAAAAAGAAGGGTCAAAAGCAGTGATGAGATCCATGAGGATGAAATACAGACCCTATGATTTGGTCACGAAAAGGTTGTTAGAAACCTTGGTGACAGCGGTTTTATGTTGTTAGGAAACAGTTTTTAATTGAGGTAAGTCTGTTCTCTCCTACTGGTTCAAAACACTGATAGATTTTTTTTTATTGCCACAAAGTTATATATTAGTTTAAAGATAGTTTATATTTTAAACTGAAAATTCGATTACTATCATATCTGTTAAATGGGCATCTGATAAAGACTAATATACACGAATAAATTAATTTCCTTTTTAAAACATTTGAATTAATGTTAAATTGTCAGCAACTTAGTTTAGGATGTTTAAAATGCTGTGGATCATAACCTGGAGTAGCTAACACTGAAACTTCCTTATCAGAATAAAACATTGCTGGTCTTATTGAAGTCAATGGGAGTTTTGCCATTGACTTCAGTAGTGCTACGATTTCACGCTGAAACTTTTGATTATATTATGGGTTCCACTGAAATATATACTAATTTTATACTGAATTTAAATGCATCTTTACAGAATTATGAAATCCAACTATATTTAAGGGATGTCATCCAACAACAAAAGAAACTGTGGTGCCTGTGTGTGTCCCAAGCAAAATACAATGAGTATGCACAACAAAAAATGAATTGTTTTTAATATGATAAAGAACCTTCCACCAAATTTTGGCTTCTTCCACTTCAGTTGTTTAATTATGTACCTGTTGATTCCTGATGACTGGCCATTAAACACAAAGTAGCACAGCAACTTTTATACAATAAACACATTAGTGGATTTTTATCCTTAGAGGACGACAGTATGAAACTACATTTTTTTTTGTTAAAGTATCATATAAGCTTTTTTCGGTTGCTACATAAAAATATACAACCCAGGAGAATATTGTAAAACATGCTAAGTGGGAAATTTTTAAAACAAATAACCAGTATATGGTATAATACCCCAAAAAAGGCAGCTGTTTGAAACCTTTTTTCAACATTTAAAAGAGCCTAAAATGCTAAGAAACAGCATTAGTATTAGAAAACAATTACAATGCTTTGGAGAAAAAAATAAAGCTAAAATAAAAAAGATTGCAATCTTCAGAAATAATCTCTCTTACCATTAGTGAGATAGGGAGCCTACTACTATACAACAAAATTCAGGAGTTGGGAAATAGGGTATATGGAAATAGACGCACTGAAAGTACTCACATGAAGTTTTCTGGATATTCACTCAAGGCCATGTCAATTATATTCAAAGCATCATGATAGTGTTTCTGGGCTGACAGCAAGAGTGCAAGGAGATGCAAAGAGTTGGCATCATCTCCTTGAAGTTGGAGAGCCTGACGAACATAACCCAAAGCTTCTGGTATCTGAGTAAAAAAAAAATGTGAAGAAGAGTTATTATTAGAAATACCACTTGCTATAATTTCACTGCATGTATATAAACATTCAAAGTACATGTAATACTCGTGGAAATTATGCAAAAGCTGTATAGGCTCCCATAAAATACTAACCAGAAACATACAAGCAGACTTGACATTTTACAGTGAACATTAAAAGTTCCAAAGGAATAAATCAACCTCTGAAATGAGATAAAATGTGTTTAAATTTATGCATAGCAGTCAATACCAGACCATTGCATCTAATTCATCCCTTTTCTCCCATTTACAACATTTTAAATCTCTTTTTAATGATGCTCAAAAGATATTTTAACTTCAGCTCAAGTATATCTGAAGAAACACACAGCTAGATTTCAGAGTAATCTTTCTTCTTTATAACTCCCCATAATCACCAAAGTTATATATGCTTTTGTTTAAACAAATGCTTCAAGGTGTTGAAAATGAATGTACAATGTGAAATTGCATTTCATAAAGCAATGTGCTTCTGAAGTAAAAAGGAAATTCTGGCAAACTCGTAACAGTTGGGATTCCCTCCAAGATCTCTTTCCACTCAGCTTCCCAGGAACTCAGTTCAACTCGAGACTTCACCACTCAGGTATCTTTATCTGGCATGCAGCAAAGCTACGCTGAGTTGATCAGACCCAAACACAGAGTGTGAATGCAGGGTACATCACAGATCCAAAGTTACACAGAAACCCTCTCCCTTTTCATACATCTACACATCTCACTGCATTTACTATACATTGCATTACAAATTTGGGGATTACCAAATACTTGGTAGGAACCAGTTCTCGTACAACATGCTCTGTCTACGCACTGGCCATGTTCAACCTACTCTTTACCTGACCTTTACATTTTCAGCATATCTTGTCCATTGTTATCTTGTTCTTTGCAAATGGTTCCCTAGGTGTTCCCACCCTGTACCTTAGCTAGTTCAGACATTCAGTCTCATAGTTGACTGAGCCATTTTCCTAATTTAGTTACACAACTGTTTTCAGCCTGCTCATTTATTTACTTCCCTAAACCTGTCTTCCAAGAAATGAGCCCCTCCCCCCATGTTTAATTACTCATGTCAAGCCAGACTGACATTCCACTGCCTTTGGGGTTTTTTAAATATTTTTTCAATATTTTTAAACATTTGTTGCATTTCCATTACATTTTGGGATTTTTGTGTGTGCTTTTTGAAGTTTATTACCCAGCAACACATTCTCAGGACAACAGTAGTTGTAATAATTTGAACTACCATTAATATCAGGCTCAAAGTACAACCCAGGGGGTGCAAGCTCATCTCCTCTGGTACAACCCACCAATGTATTTCCACTGCCTGTACAATATTGTCCCTAATCTTTTGTTCCATGGCTATTTAGTAACATGTTCTTTTCCAATTCCGATATAGTGGTTTTTACCCTGGGCCATCCTGTGAAAGGAGAGGTATGAAGAACAGCTGAGGTGCAGGAGTCTGGAAACCCTATTGGGAGTTCACTGGATGAGCTTTCTCAGCAGGCGGACACCCCTGCAGAGCTTTCAATCTTTTTACTTCCTCCTCCAGTTGCTCCTTCTCTATTTCAACCTGCCAAAATGGCACCCATAGTCTTCCATGTTCCTGATCTCCTCGTCCCTCACCCAGAATCCCTTGCCCTTGGGGCCAAATTCCACTTGGAAAAGTTAGCTTCAGCTACTGACACTGCTGATTTATTTAACCCCAACCAGCACTCAGTTCTGGCTAAGAAACTGTCCAAATTATTGGGATCAGGGTTGAACTGCAAGATATTCCTTGCATTCTGGGGAAGCACCATTCATGCCACTTCAATGTGCGCTTGCTCTCCTCTTGCTAGTATATTACGCACATTATGCTCTCACAAATTCCACCTCCAAAGGAGGCAATCTGCTTGCTCATGTGGACCTTCCTCCAGGAGGAGCTTCACATCCAATGCTTCCGCTTGAGCTGATCTTAAATTATACAGTACTCATGCCAACTGTGCCCCTAAAGTTAAGTCATCATAGTATGACCTATAACCTGCAACCATAAACGCCCCAAAGATCTCTGCCATAACTTATCCCAATCCTGTTTATTTAAGTGGTACATCTTTTTCAAGGCTATTCCTTTCGTAAACCTATGAGTGAACCTATTCCATTTGTTCCATGGAGGGGGTCCCCAATCCTTAACAAGGGATTCCAATTCCTGGATGCAGACTTTACGAGTTTCAGTAACAATCCTTCCCCCGTCGTTCCCTTCCCCTTCTACCTGAACTATAATTGGAGCAGGGGGCCAGGGGAATGCCCAAATCCTCTGGATATATTATTCAACTCAGCCTGCAGGTATCTTGTTTTAGCAGTGTCAAAAGCAGGGGAGCAGTAGCAACTTGCACAGGCCCCGCTGCACAGATACATCCCATAGCTACACTGAAAACTGAGGAAAATGCTCCTGGGTCCTGCTTCCCATTATGCTGGTATCTCCACAACTCGTCCTGTAAGTTTGCTCCTTGTTCTACAAGCTAGTTGTGTTCCTCCCAGCTTTTATGTTTCTCCAAAAACACCTCATTGGATTGCATGTACCTTGTATATTTTCTTTTCTTCTCCAGCCTATTTTTTCCTTTCCTAATTTGTGGATCTGGATCTTTAAGTCCTTTAACTTCCTGATCCAAGCCTCCAATGTCCAACATTAAGCCCTGTAACAACATAGTTTTTTGCTTTTCTTTTTTTCCATATTTTATCCAGCACTATTTGTTGGAGTTCCTTTTCCACCTGATTCTAGTCTCTCCCTACTACATTTCTGGGGTGTAATAGCCAGGCCTACAATAACCTGCTACAGAAACTTGTGATATCATAAGACAGTCCCATTCTTCTCTAATGTGATATTTTTGCTGTTCATTAGCAATGAAAAGTAGTCACCTAGAGTACGTAAACTACTCTGCTCAAATCTAGCTCCTAAAATAAACCTGACACAGGAAAAAGCCTACAATGACATATACAAAGCAGCTATATATTACCCAAATTAATGCAATGCAAGATACAATCCTAGCTCCTTTAAATGTAACAGCTGTACAAGGACAAGATTCAGGTTGTGTTTTAAGAACACAACTTAACTCCCACCTCTTTCTGCAGCTTTATAAGATTTTTCTTTTCTTTTTAAACAGATATTTGTAGTACTGTTTACAACAAGCAAACCATCCACAAGTATTCAGAGAACATGTACTTTTACATGGCCATGAGGCGCAATAATTTGATTCCTAGTCTCCTACTTCTGACCCTTAGGGCTGGGTATGCTGTGGCAGAATACTGGATTAAAGGGCAACACTGATAGACTCTAAGGGAAATGCTCCCTGTATTGATGTTAGCCACAGTGCAGGGCCTGTAGGGAAAGAGCAGAAACCATCTATTCATTAAATGAGGAAGTGGAATTAAGCATGTCTAGGTACAGAATTCAATACTCCGAGGACAGATATAAATCATGTAATAGATGATCAGGATTTATAACAAGTGCACACAGAAAGAGTAATTGAATCCTTAGGATAATAAACTATTCCATTGTTAAAAATGGCTGATGCGCCTTAATGGTATATTATACATTGGTGAACACAGCTTGCACCAGGCTATGAAAACACATGAATTCTTTTGTTTGCTGTTTACCATTGCTGTGTCCATTTACACAGGTCAGAATTTCCTATCTTCATATCACAATGTGGAGTTTTAATATATTTGTCCAGTAGAACTAACCTGTCTAGATATGGCAAGCTGCAGTGCCAGGTAAAATGCTGCGAGATGATCTGTTGGAGACAAACTGTGGGCCCTGAAAAAAATTGAAATACAGTTAGTCTATTAGGACATGTTAACTACTATACATACAGATCTCTTTTTGACTTGTCATTGGTTCATATTTTGACATAGGAGGACGTGCCAGTCTTCTGTCCCTCCCACACTGGATTGGTTATAAAGTCATTGCTCATAACAACCCTGGGTTAAACAGAAAAACCTTTTGGTTTTGCATAGAGTCCTTTTAGTGCAAGCAGACTATGTACCTTCAGTGTAATCTTAGAAGTGGATGAAGTGAAAAGTAAGAATTCTCATTAATGATGTCTAATCCCAGGTCCATGCCAGAGACACCTATTTGCACTAAGAACTCAATTTCTCACAATTAACTATGGGGATCTTATTTTACATTAAAAATCTGATGCGCTTTAAAGTGACAATGAGCAGAACGATGCCAGCTGCATGACAGGGGCCCGAGCCATCCCACTGATGCAGGGCAAGATGATGCTGAAGGCTAGACCTCAAGGAAACGGAATGTACAGTGGAGTGAATCTTAGTGTTGCACACCCTCCAGTGAGTGTTGCAGAATCCAGAAATCTGATCACACTCTCAACAACCCAGTATTCTATACCTCCCTGGGGACCAGGCAGATGAGACAGCCTGTCCCACTCCAGGCACTCAAGAAAAAGGTAGGAGGGTATCCTGCTTCGCTGCTGTGCAGGGACTTTCCAGCCATCCCTTTCCCACCATAGCACAGGGCAGTATAAGACCCCATATTTAAAAGGAGAGAAGAAATAGAGAGCAATATTTCTTTTAAAAACAAACATTACTGCAGCACACAAAAAAGAAAGTAGGGGCCCAATAACACCAGCACTTTAGGATTAGACACACAGTTAATGAAAATATCACTCTTCTGTTTCAAACATTTTTACCTATATTTATCATAAGTAACACCACAGGTTACAACAACAAAGAAATCAGAGGAAAAACATTTTTCTCTCCATTTTTTCAGGTTTTTTTACTTTGTGCATTTGACAGAATTTTGTGTATAGACCATTTTGCTCCTTCTCCTGTAGAGTCAGTTTCCACTGCAGTGTGTGTGTTTGGGATTTTTTTTTTTAAAAACATAGTAACAAAAGAGAAAGGATGTTAAAAATAAGTGGATGTAAAAACACAAATACTGTCTGGTGAAAACTAAGGCATTAGGGGTAGAACCTAACACAACTTCTAAACTTTGCTTTTAAAACAGACTAGATTTCAAATTGATGGTGTTCTCTAACGGAGATTATATTACAAATAGGATATAAAATAAAGATGCCAAGAAAATCTAGTCAGAATTCTTTTTTCAGAGAAAAAACATTGCTATCCCTTATGATCATGAAGGTAACCTTCTACACATGCCTTGATCACAGCTGCCATCCTGAATGTACAGAAAGACAGTTCCAGTGGCTTGGTGGCTTCCCATAACACGCCCGAGTCGCTGCAAAATGAAATTCTAGCAACCAGAGGAATGGGAGAGGGCTTAAAATTTACTACCAGATGCATACTACTCAGAGTGACATATGAGAGATGGAGACCATTAAAAGGGTCAGGGGACATTTCTCATTTCACTCAGATTTTAAGTAGAAAACAAAAATAAAAAACCCACATAGAAGGAATGGCCCAGTGAATAAGTAATGATCTACAGAGATCTTCACTTGTAGGTGTAGGCGTCGTTTGGGGAGAAAGGGGGGCATCACCCCCACCCCAAACAAAGGCAACACATGAGGGGGGCACAGAGGGTCATGTGCCACTGCCCCCCCCCATTTCTGAGAGTACTGAGCAGCCCTTAAAGGGCCTGCGGGAAATGGGAGGAGGAGAGGTCTGTCCTTCTCACACTGTGCCTCCCCCTCAGCATGTTTCCTGCTTGCTTGGCCCCTCTCCCCAGCAGCCAGGCCTGGGTGGGGTGGAGAGGGGGTAGTATGGGGCCGCTTCTCCTGCCGGGTGAGGGTGGCTGCTCTCAGTCACTGCCTCTGTGCAATGTGGCGACTGCCTGCGAGAATCTGGCTGGGGAGGCAGTAGCAGCCTGCAGGGTGGAGAGAGCACAGCTGCCCCGGGCTGGGCATAGGGTTGCTAGGGAAGGCACCGGGAGCAGTGCCTCAGTTAGGGACAGTGCCCGTGCACCTCCTCCCACTGAGGTGTCCGCGAGGGCACAGGAGTTCTGTTAGCCTGACTAGAGCTGCCCCCCAAACACGGAAGTCAAACTACGCCTATGCTTGTAGGTTACTGGCTCAAAAATTCAGCTCCAGCTAGCAGTGACTTAAAACTGTTACCATCTGCCAGCTGTTCAGTTACTTATGTGAAATGATTATATCTGTACCACAGCAAACACTCCAGAAATCATCTAAACAAGTACTGTTTGCACAAACATGACTTCTGTGAAAAGAACTTGTGGTACAATATGATGTGGACAGGAATCTAAAATGCCACAACCAGCATCACAACTGTCCGCCTTGAACCTTGGCAGAAGTAAAGGTCACGGGATATGTAACTACTCTCCTTCTTGAAAGGTTAGGGGTAAGAATCTGACATAGCAGTATGGTGAAGCCTGCACAGTTGCTGCCCTTATAACCTGTATTGTTGGTAGACCAAGTATTTCAGCTTCTACCATTACTGAAGACCAAATTTATTTTCAAGAAGGGGGATGGAGTAAAAAGCACAGATACTCTGGAAAAAGTGCAAATGAGCATTCCTAGAAGTGACAATTTTTAAATGGAGTTGCCTGCCTCAGTCATAAAAGCAACTTTATTAACCACAGACACAACACACTTCCAGCAGGGTTATATGAATCCCTGCTGATGAATGTCAGCTCTAAGTGACACTTCACGCTACCAGACAAGTCAATACCAAACTTTCTAAAATTACTTTCTTCCTCCTCTTTGAAGCAAATTATAATGCTGATAAGGTCCAGCAACTCCAACCACTGTAAGGGTCAATCCATTTTATACAAGAATTCACATGTATGTTTGAGCCAGTCACATCTGCAGTGTTACCATGTCCTGGTCGCAGTACTGAAAGTGTTTTTTTTAAAGTCTACTTTAACTGTTCACTGTCATTTTGAAATCCTATCCCACATGTTTTCACTAACAACTCCAAAGATACTTCAATTTAAAACTTTGGTACAAATTAATATTAAGAAATACCAGTTGACAGAATGGACATATAATTTTGATTTCAAGTAAATTGAAATTGTGCATTCAGACTGCTAAATACAGAACACCACAGTGTCTGTTTCTAGTACGAACTGGTAATATAGAAATACAAAATACACAGCTTTTAAGAAAGGAAAAGAAGTAATCACCATTTTCCAAGGCACCCTATGTTTATATGCCTCTATTTAGCACAAAAATTTCAAAGCTTCAAATCACTAAAAAATTAAAATTCCAGCCACACTCTACAGCTAAAGGGCATCCATAAAAGCTCACTGTACAGACACCAGATATGTTTTCAGATATCAGCTGACATTACTCACTGCTAACAAGTCTTAGAAACAGTATAGTTAAGAAGCCATCAGGAATCTTGTTAGCTGCTGTAAGAAAAGAAGCTGCAAAGGTCCTAGGATTAATAAAAACAGAAAATGAATGATAACGGTTGTCTGGGGAAAAAATATCTTCTCATGAAGTCCGAATTCATGTTATTGCAGAAAAAGAATTCTAGTAAACCACCCATATACTATTCAGTATTTTTCACAGGGTTTCAGCCCAAACATTTACAGTACCTCCTTTTCTAGGACAAATACTGTAAGAATAACAAAAATCAGACAAAAGTCTCTGCTTTATCAAGGCACATAGCATTTCCATTAGGAAGCTCACATTTTATTAATTTACAACTGCAGTAAAATACAGATCAAGGGAGCCACCAAGGTTTGGTAAACGTTGCACACTTTAATCCTTGGGGAAATGGCAAGTTACCATACGGATCACTAGCAGAGACTTGCTTCCTAAGTGCTTTTGGATCTCCATGGCAAGCTGGAAGATGAGGAAGAGATAGTTGCAGCTACGCAGTGGGCAGGGAAGGACTGGCTTCAGTCAAGAGTCTCACTCTGTCCCTGGCTTTTGGAAGGCAACCACAGAAGCAGGCAAGTCATGTTAGGAATTCAAGTCAGGGATGAAATGGCATACAAGCCACCAGCAGTTGAGTACATGGAGTCAGGCTGACAGCAGAGCAAGACAAGGGGATGGGGAGGCAAGTTAGTTGGTGATAGTTGGTGTTGGTCCTGCTTTGAACAGGGGGTTGGACTAGATGACGTACTGAGGTCTCTTCAACCCTAATCTTCTATGATTCTATTAAATGGACGTGGTCAAGTTTTAGAACTTTGCGTAGATGGCAGGAATGGTTGTGGAACCCAGGGAGGGACCAGGAAGTGGAAAGTGCACATTGAGAATGGGTGACAGGAGAAATGATGTACTAAAAAAAAGGCTGAAGGAGCTCAATCTATTTAGCTTAAGAAAGAGAAGGTTACTGGGTGACTTGATCACAGTCTGTAAGCACCTACATGGGGAAGAGGAGGTTACTTACCTGTAACTTAAGGTTCTTTGAGATGTGTGGTCCCCTATCTGTATTCCACTGAGGGTTACGCATACGCACCATGTGCCTGAGTGAGAGAATTTAAAAGTAGCGTCCGCTGGTCTGAGCATGCACTCTGACTCACCTCAGGCTTCCATGCGAGGCGATAAAAGGCAGGGCAGACTGACCACGTCTTTGAAGATAGCACTGGAAACGGAGTCTCTGGTAATCACATACTGAGCTGCAAAGGTATGCACACATGCCCAGGTTGCCACTCTACAGATTTCACAGATAGGGACATTGTTGAGGAAGGCAACGGAGGAGGAAACCAACCTTATGGAGTGAGTTTGAATACTGAATGGAAGTGTTCTATTGCGAACCTGACAGCATTGTTTAATACAGTTCGAGACCCATCTGGAGAGTCTCTGGGCCAATATCACTGAGCCCTTAGATCTCTCTTATTGAGGTGATTGCCCCCAGGAAGGTTGTCTTCATTGACAGGTATAAGAGTGAACAAGTGGCCATGGGTTCAAAGGGAGGTCTAGTCGGGCTTTTTAGTACGAGGTTTAGGTCCCATGTTGGGGTTGGATGTCTGGGTTTGGAAAAAAGGTTTAATATTCCCGCAAAGAATCATTTTGTGGTTGGATGTGAGAGCACTGACTATCCCTCTTCTTGTTGATGGAATGTCACTATAACTTCAAGGTGAACTTTGAGTGAAAGCCTGGATTGATTGATTGATTTATAAGAGTCAGTACATAGTTTTGGGCCATTGGGAGAGTAGCGGATGTCAGGGAGATTTGTTGGGAACTACAGCAAATCTGAAACCTAGACCACTTTTGCATGGCAGTAGTGGAGTGGATTTTCTACTGCACAGTAACACGTCCTGTATCTTCTCAGCAGGCATGTCGCCAGTTGTTTCAGGTAAGGGTACCAAGTCTGTCTCAGCCATGTGGGAGCAATCAGTATGACATTTGCTCTCTCTCTTTTTATCTTTAACTGGACTTTTGACAGTAGGGGAACAGGGGAAAGGCATAGAGAAAGTCCCTGTTCCACCAAAGAAGGAGAGCGTCGCCGAAGGAGTGTTGCCCTATCCCTGGCCTGGAGCAGTAGCATGGACATTTCTTGTTCAGGTAAGTGGCAAACAGGTCTGTGGTTGATGTCTCTCATGGCCTGAGTAGGTCGTGAAGCACTGCTGGGTTTATCTCCCACTTGCGGTCATGTGGGAATTTGTGACTGAGACGGTCCGCTATCAAGTTTTGTACTCCAGGAAGGTAGGTCGCTGATAATGTGATGTTGTGGGAAATGCACCAGTTCCACATCTTTAGTGCTTCTGCACAAAGGAAGAGTGACCTGGCTCCTCCCTGCTGATTTATGTAGTATATACGTGGTATGTTGTCTGTTAAGACACTTGTGTTCCCTCGATCAGTGGGAGGAAATGGACCCAGGCATTCCTGATTGCCCTGAGGAGGTTGATGTGAAGGGACATTTCCATGGATGACCATTTGCCTTGTGTTGTAAAGTTGTTTAGATGTGCACACCATCCTATGAGGCATGCGTCGGTGGTGAGAAGTAATGACAGGGAAGTTTGCAGAAAGAGAATCCCCTTGCAAACACTGGCTGGATTTTTCCGTCAGTCCAGGGAGTTTTTGACCTTGGTTTGTAGTGACAGAGGTTTGTCTAATCTGTCTCTGTTGAACCATATCTGGAGGCACTGCATATGAAGTCTGGCATGAGGTATCACCGCTGTGCCTGCCGCCATATCCCTCAGGATTTGGTGACAGTGTCTTGCTGATATTTGAGGGCAGTTTTGTAGTGTCTCTATGAGTGTGGCCAAGGTGCGGAACCTGTGCTGAGGCAGAGCGCTTTGGCCTGTAACGAGGCTGACTCCTATGAACTCTAGGTGATGTACAGGGGTGAAGGTTGATTTTTGGATGTTGATCTGTCCTGTGAATAAGTGTACTGCGGTTTTGGTAACCCAGTGAGCCTCATTGAAGGAGTGGCCTCTGAAGAAAATCATCCAGGTAGTGGTCCTGGCCCAGGGTAAATCTGAGAAATCATCTGTGTGAAGGTAGGATAGATATGTGGAATATTTCTTTAAAGGGCTGTTAGGCAAACAATATTCTCTGGTAGATGGCAACAAAAAATATCTTTAATAATGAAATAAGAGAAAATCTTTAGGAATCTGTTTGGATTTGCCTGGCAGAAACTGATGAAGTGAATGTTAATGCAATATGTTCTGTACCCATGAAACCAGACTCCCAGAGGTAAAATCCTCATTATATAATCTTCATAGATTTCTTTTTTTAAAATCACATATAACAAGGTTTTTCACTATGTACAGCTGAATGAAATGAAAAGATTAACACCCACTCACCTCTGAAATGCAAGAAGAGCCTTTCTCTGCAGGACCTCTTGCATCCCTCGCAAAGATGCTAAAAAAGGATATATTTAATCAGCGATATTTAAGAGTCAAAGATTTGCTTGCACATGCTTACTGAACAAAGATTAATACATTCACAGACTATTATGACAAAAATGATACAAAAAACATACACCCCTGTCATAACTATGAAGGGAAGGGTAACAGCTCTCTGTGTACAGAGAC